ATTATTCCATTTGCATCACATATAGAAGTAAGAATGAGAATATAATCAAGTTTTTAACGTGCATATATATATTAACAGCATCATCACATAATATTTATTTATTTAGAGGATACTGTCAGACGGACAACTTTTCATTGAACAAGTTAGGAAAAGTTCCAGAACTCCGCTTGTTAGTGTCCTGCTACATGGTATAGTATTTTTAAAGTTTTTACAGTAATATTATATATGATATGACAATACATTATTTTATTTATTTTATATATATATATATATATATATATTATTAGGACCTCCTAGTAGTGGTAAAACAGCATTGGCGGCCACAATGGCGATGGCATCAGAATTTCCTTTTATCAAATTAATTTCACCAGAAAGTATGGTTGGATATTCAGAATCAGCTAAAATGACTGCAATAAACAAGGTATTGATTCCCTTTTTTATTTATTTTGTTTATTGGAATTTTTATGATATAGATTAAAATGAATTTTATATTTATATAGGTGTTTAATGATTCTTATAAATCACCATTAAGTGTCATAGTCATGGATAACATTGAAAGATTACTAGGTATATTAGCTAATTTTTAGGAAATTAAAGATTTTTAACTAGAATAACCATTATTAATTTGTTATATTATAAATAAAAAAAATCATACAGATTGGGTACTATTGGACCAATATTTTTTAATTCCATCTTACAAACATTATTGGTTTTACTCAAAAAAAGACCTAAAGTAAGTAGTTATTAGTAAATAAAGTTGTATTTATATTTATATACATGTATGTATATATAATAATCAACAAATCATTTTAGGGACGATATCTTTTAATTTTAGCCACTACCAATAAAAAGTGGGTTCTTCAACAAATTGGATATGTCGGATTGTTTCAATTCTGAAATTGAAGCACCAAATATTGTTGATTTGAGTTCAATTGAACTTGTATTCAAAAGATTGCCATTATTCAATAATGATGAAAAAGAACAATCACTTGAAACTCTTAACAAAATCACCCTATTCAAATAGATATTGGTATTAAAAAACTATTGATGATAATTGAAGACAAGATGTTGACAAAGTGGATAAATTTGTTAGTACCATTATGGGTTTTTAATTCTATTAATATAATTTGTTGCTTTAATCTGTATTTTTATCATCATTATGTAATAGCAAAATTATATTTATTC